AGCCTCGGCCCAGGGCTCTTCCTCCTCCCGCGCTCCTCGGGCTGGGGCTTGCTTCTGTGAACGGCCGGGCCTGCCGGGGCACGAAAGAGCCGGGGAAGATCCTCCGGGCGAGACTTCCCATAGACAGTTTGGCCAAATTCATAAATTAAGTTGAAAATGTGATCCAGCTCGCTGCCAAGCGGGGCTAATTAATTTCTGTAGAGACTGATGAACAGGAAGCCCGCGATTCACATTATTTCATCAACAATTAATTCACTAAGCCCCGATTCATTACTTTCCTGGCATCGGCCATCCTAAACAGAGCTGGGAGGCCGGCTGTGCTAAGCCTGGGCTGCAGCGTGGCTCAGCCCGGCTGCTGCGACCTCACCCCCTGGCCCGGACTCCTCACGGGGGGCCCAGCGGACCCTGCAGGGTCTGGGTGGCGCTGCCCCCCACCTCCATGTTCTGGAACTTTGTGGCCTCCCGACAAGGGGAACACCGGCAGTCCAGGCCAATTTGAATCCCTGCTTTGCTAATAAACTCTGTAAGCCCCCCCTGCCCCCAGGCCCCCCCACAAAGAGCAGAAGTTGGAGCTGCAGCTCAGGGGGCTTCAGGCAGGTCCCCCAGTCCCTTCCGCCCTCCCCAGGCAGACTCCGGGCTGGTCTGCCAGCACACGCTTCCTGCAGCCTCTGGTGCCACCAGGGAAGGCGTCCTGGAGGAGGAGCCCTGTAAGCGCTCCCTCCGGTCAACGGTGCGAGAGGTGGAAGGCAGGCAGCAAAGAGAAGTGGTCGCTAGACAGGAAGCTGGGATGGGCGTGAGGAGCGGCCAGGGTGGGGAGATCCGGCTGGACCAGCGCGCCGCACGCACCACGCATCTCTGTCCACGGTCTGCTGGACGGACGGATGGACTCAGAGCCCGCCCCAGGACAGTGGCGTTCTCCCTCTGGCCATGGAACCCTGCGGGGCACACGTCCCGCACCGGGCACAGGCTGAGCACCAGGCCAGCTCCACCCTCCCCACCCAGCCAAGGCCAGGGGAGGCTGCCAGGGGAGGCCGCCAAGGGGAGGCCGCCAGGGGGAGGCCGCCAGGGGAAGCTGTCAGGGGAGGCCGCCATGGGGAGGCCGTCAGGGGAGGCCACCAGGGGAAGCTGTCAGGGGAGGATGCAAGGGGAGGCCGCCATGGGGAGGCCGCCAGGGGGAGGCCGCCAGGGGGAGGCCGCCAGGGGAAGCTGTCAGGGGAGGCCGCCATGGGGAGGCCGTCAGGGGAGGCTGCCAGGGGAAGCTGTCAGGGGAGGATGCCAGGGGAAGCTGTCAGGGGAGGCCGCCAGGGGAAGCTGTCAGGGGAGGCCGCCAGGGGAAGCTGTCAGGGGAGGCCGCCATGGGGAGGCCGTCAGGGGAGGCCGCCAGGGGAAGCTGTCAGGGGAGGATGCAAGGGGAGGCCGGCTCCACTCCCACAGCAGCTAGAGGCTTGCCATGTTCTCTGTTCTCCTATCTTCCCCCCCCCCCTCTCGTTTTTTCTTTGGTCTGGGCAGAATAAGGATGGTGGCGTGTCTGTTAGGATGAGGAGGAACTGTACCAGACGGAAGGCCACACCCTTGCTCGGCCTGGGCCTCCGCCTCCCGGGCAGCAGCCCAGCCTCGAGAGGGAAGTGCCCAGCACACCCGCGTGCCGGGAACGCCTTCTGGTTCAGGAAGAGCCGACTGCTGAGGCTTGCACTCCGCAGGGAGCTGCTGGACCGGGGTGTGGAGGGCATGGTGGGTGTGGCAGGTGTGTGTGTGTGGAGGGCATGGTGGGTGTGGCAGGTGTGTGTGTGTGAGGAGGGCGTGGTGGGTGTGGCAGGTGTGTGTGTGAGGAGGGCATGGTGGGTGTGGCAGGTGTGTGTGTGTGGAGGGCATGGTGGGTGTGGCAGGTGTGTGTGTGTGTGTGTGTGGAGGGCGTGGTGGGTGTGGCAGGTGTGTGTGTGAGGAGGGCATGGTGGGTGTGGCAGGTGTGTGTATGTGTGTGTGAGGAGGGCATGGTGGGTGTGGCAGGTGTGTGTATGTGTGTGTGTGTGGAGGGCGTGGTGGGTGTGGCAGGTGTGTGTGTGTGGAGGGCGTGGTGGGTGTGGCAGGTGTGTGTGTGTGGAGGGCATGGTGGGTGTGGCAGGTGTGTGTGTGTGGAGGGCGTGGTGGGTGTGGCAGGTGTGTGTGTGTGGAGGGCGTGGTGGGTGTGACAGGTGTGTGTGTGTGTGGAGGGCATGGTGGGTGTGGCAGGTGTGTGTGTGGAGGGCATGGTGGGTGTGGCAGGTGTGTGTGTGTGTGAGGAGGGCGTGGTGGGTGTGACAGGTGTGTGTGTGTGTGGAGGGCATGGTGGGTGTGGCAGGTGTGTGTGTGTGGAGGGCATGGTGGGTGTGGCAGGTGTGTGTGTGTGTGTGGAGGGCATGGTGGGTGTGGCAGGTGTGTGTGTGGAGGGCATGGTGGGTGTGACAGGTGTGTGTGTGTGGAGGGCATGGTGGGTGTGGCAGGTGTGTGTGTGTGTGTGAGGAGGGCGTGGTGGGTGTGGCAGGTGTGTGTGAGGAGGGCGTGGTGGGTGTGGCAGGGGTGTGTGTGTGTGTGGAGGGCATGATGGGTGTGGCAGGTGTGTGTATGTGTGTGTGAGGAGGGCGTGGTGGGCGTGGCAGGGGTGTGTGTGTGTGGAGGGCATGGTGGGTGTGGCAGGTGTGTGTGTATGGAGGGCATGGTGGGTGTGACAGGTGTGTGTGTGTGGAGGGCATGGTGGGTGTGGCAGGTGTGTGTGTGTGGAGGGCGTGGTGGGTGTGGCAGGTGTGTGTGTGAGGAGGGCATGGTGGGTGTGGCAGGTGTGTGTATGTGTGTGTGAGGAGGGCATGGTGGGTGTGGCAGGTGTGTGTATGTGTGTGTGTGGAGGGCGTGGTGGGTGTGGCAGGTGTGTGTGTGTGGAGGGCGTGGTGGGTGTGGCAGGTGTGTGTGTGTGGAGGGCATGGTGGGTGTGGCAGGTGTGTGTGTGTGAGGAGGGCGTGGTGGGTGTGACAGGTGTGTGTGTGTGGAGGGCATGGTGGGTGTGGCAGGTGTGTGTGTGTGGAGGGCATGGTGGGTGTGGCAGGTGTGTGTGTGTGAGGAGGGCGTGGTGGGTGTGGCAGGTGTGTGTGTGTGAGGAGGGCGTGGTGGGTGTGGCAGGTGTGTGTGTGTGAGGAGGGCGTGGTGGGTGTGGCAGGTATGTGTGTGTGAGGAGGGCGTGGTGGGTGTGGCAGGTGTGTGTGTGTGAGGAGGGCGTGGTGGGTGTGGCAGGGGTGTGTGTGTGTGTGGAGGGCATGATGGGTGTGGCAGGTGTGTGTATGTGTGTGTGGAGGGCATGGTGGGTGTGGCAGGTGTGTGTGTATGGAGGGCATGATGGGTGTGGCAGGTGTGTGTGTGTGTGGAGGGCATGGTGGGTGTGACAGGTGTGTGTGTGTGTGGAGGGCATGATGGGTGTGGCAGGGGTGTGTGTGTGTGTGGAGGGCATGATGGGTGTGGCAGGGGTGTGTGTGTGTGAGGAGGGCGTGGTGGGCGTGGCAGGGGTGTGTGTGTGTGGAGGGCATGATGGGTGTGGCAGGTGTGTGTGTGTGGAGGGCATGGTGGGCGTGGCAGGTGTGTGTGTGTGGAGGGCATGGTGGGTGTGGCAGGTGTGTGTGTGTGGAGGGCATGGTGGGTGTGACAGGTGTGTGTGTGTGTGGAGGGCATGGTGGGTGTGGCAGGTGTATGTGTGTGTGTGAGGAGGGCATGGTGGGTGTGGCAGGTGTGTGTGTGTGTGAGGAGGGCATGGTGGGTGTGGCAGGTGTTTGTGTGTGGAGGGCATGGTGGGTGTGGCAGGTGTGTGTGTGTGTGAGGAGGGCGTGGTGGGCGTGGCAGGGGTGTGTGTGTGTGTGCGCGCGTGCGCGTGTGTAAGGAGCGCCTGGTGTGGATGTGTCCTGTCCCCGGCAGGTGGCCAGTCTAGAGCTCAGGTGAGCTCAGGTGAGCTGCGGGCCCAGAGGCCCTGGCACAGAAGCAGCTTGCCCCGGCCTTAAGACCCCGGTGGCTCTGGTGTGGGAGCTGCTGGCCAGGCCTGGGGCGGGGCAGGGGCTCCAGCGGAGAGGGGGCTGTTCCGAACCAGGGACAAGGCCAAGATGGAGGCTCTGGCAATAGAAAAGAAATGCAGCTGACAGTAGGAGACGGCACTGTGGCTCGGCTACACCACCCGTGGGTGTAGGCCCTAAGGGATGTCAGTTGGTAACACGCAGTTGGTAGCACTCTGCGCACCTGCATTTATACCAGCCCTGTTCAGCATGGCCAAGCTGTGGACTTTGCCCACTGCCCATTGCCAAATGTGAGGTCAGAGGAAATGAGGCAGGTTTAAACTAGGGAGCCTCTTTCAACCATGAAGAAGGAAGTTGGCTGGCAGCGTTGTTCAGGAGGTAGAGCACCTGCTAAACAAGCGCAAGGCCTGAGTTCAGCACCACACATACAAAGAAAAGAAATTCTGTGTCATTTGCAAGAAAATGGGTGGAACTGGAGATGATTGTGTTAAGTGAAATAAGCCAGATTCAGAAAGCCAGTACCGCGGGCTGGGAAGGTGGCTCAGTGGTAGAGCACTTGCCTTGCATGCTCGAGGCCCTGGGTTCGATTCCTCAGCACCACATAAGCAAAAAGCTGGAAGTAGCGCTGTGACTCAAGTGGTAGAGCGCTAGCCTTGAGCTGAAGAGCTGAGGGACAGCGCCCAGGCCCAGAGTTCAGGCTCCACGACCGGACCCCCCCCCCCCCAAAATAGAAAGCCAGTACCGCATTTCCTCTTGGATGCGGAAGCTAGATCTAAGCAAAACAGAAAAATAAAATGAGAGGGTCTGAATGTGGAAGAGCCACGGGAGCACGGCCGTGGGAGCACGGCCGTGGGAGCACGGCCACGGGAGCACAGCCACGGGAGCACAGCCACGGGAGCACAGCCACGGGAGCACGGCCGCGGGAGCACGGCCGCGGGAGCACAGCCACGGGAGCACAGCCACGGGAGCACGGCCATGGGAGCACGGCTGCGGGAGCACGGCCACGGGAGCACAGCCACGGGAGCACGGCCACGGGCCGCGGGAGCACAGCCACGGGAGCACGGCTGCGGGAGCACAGCCACGGGAGCACAGCCACAGGAGCACAGCCACGGGAGCACAGCCACAGGAGCACGGCTGCGGGAGCACAGCCACGGGAGCACGGCCACGGGAGCACAGCCACGGAAGCACAGCCACGGGAGCACGGCCACGGGAGCACGGCCGCGGGAGCACAGCCACGGGAGCACAGCCACGGGAGCAGAGCCACGGGAGCACCACCATGGGAGCACGGCCATGGTAAGCAGAGCCACGGGAGCACAGCCACGGGAGCACCACCATGGGAGCACGGCCATGGTAAGCAGAGCCACGGGAGCAGAGCCACGGGAGCACGGCCACGGGAGCACAGCCACGGAGCACAGCCACGGGAGCACGGCCACGGGAGCACAGCCACGGGAGCACAGCCACGGGAGCACCACCATGGGAGCACGGCCACGGTAAGCAGAGCCACGGGAGCACGGCCACAGCAAGCAGAGCCACAGCAAGCAGAGCCACGGCCAGCAGAGCCACGGGAGCACAGCCACAGCAAGCAGAGCCACGGCCAGCAGAGCCACGGGAGCACAGCCACAGTAAGCAGAGCCACGGCCAGCAGAGCCACGGGAGCACGGCCATGGCCACAGTAAGCAGAGCCACGGGAGCACGGCCACGGTAAGCAGAGCCACGGCCAGCAGAGCCACGGGAGCAGAGCCGTCGCGGGCAGCCATTGTTCATTTTCCTGCATGCACCCGCACGGAGCAGTTGTTTCTTCTGCCAGCTTACTTTTTCCTAAAGTGGGAATATCCCGCTTTGCCGTGACCCCTAACAGCCCAGACTCTGTGTCCTCCAATGAGCAGAGTGAGCTCTGTCCCTCTCATGCGCACCTTCTCCGAGACTACAAATTAGCAGGGTGCACCTCACGTCTAGACATCCGCAGGTGTCCTTTGAATCCCGATTTAAGCTGTTTACACCCCAGGTTGTTTTATTTACCCCTCAACATCAGGCCTCTGCGTAATTAAAGCCGACTGGCTCTGCTGGCACGAGCCTGCCCCGCACCCCCCCCCCCCCCCCCCCAGGTACTGCTCCAATTCCCCTAATTCGCCTCTCCTCTGCCTGCCCTGGGCGGCTCTCTGTCTGCCACCCCGGCCTGCTTCCCCGTGACGGCGGTGATGTTTACAAGCCTTCCTCGGGGCCAGCGCCGATCTTCCGCAGACGCTAAATCATAATCTTCGTGTTTTTCGTATTTCACATTCTAGCCACAATTTCAACCTCTCATCCCTGACATCGGGGATGATAAATCAGCAAACAGGACAGCTCCCCAGCACAGACTGGTACGGGCGGCCGCAGGGCCCTGCCAGCCCCTCTCCACCGGCCTGACCTGCGGGGCTAACCCCTCCCCTGCCCTCCCCTCCCCTCCCTGGCTGGCCCTGCCCAGGTGGCTGCCCGAAGCCCTTAGTGGCTCTTCCCTTTCCTCAGTCTGTGCTTTGCCAGGTCTAAGGCAAAGGAGATTGTTCCACACTGGGCCCAGGGAAAGTGTGCTTTCCTTACGTCAGTAAGTCTTGGCTGAGCCCTTCTGCCTCTCCCCACCAGAGGAGCCATTATAGTGCTGCGTGTGTGTGTGTGTGTGTGTGTGTGTGTGTGTGTGTGTGTGTGTGATTTTAAAATAGCTTTATAGGTGTATAATTTACATATCCATCAGCCCCTCTACCGTACAGAGCCACCTGATGTATTTATGGAACCATGACACCATAGGCCTAGCCTAATTTTAGAGCATTTCAATCTTCCCTTCCGTGTCCACTTGCAGTTACCCCTCCCCCTTCTCCCCCCTCCCCTCATCCCAGCACCGGCCCTTCCTTCTCCCTGCAGCCCTGCAGCGGGCGGGGGCTTTGCCAGCTGCCTCTGGTGCTCATGGCTTCTATTGTATGAGAAAGCACTTGGAGCCGCCAGAGCCTCCCCAAAGCCCACCCCGCCTACCGGGCACGTGGGCTGCACATCTATGCACCCCACACAGAGTGAGGGCCCTGGATGCTCCCCAGAAAAAGATGAGGCCCCAGCTGAGTGTTTGGAGGATGGGGCGTCTCTCGAGTGCACACACTAGTAGCTGGTTTGGTTTAGAAGGAGAGAGCTAACCCATGTGATTTAGTTCTTATTGAAATGACAGACCAAGGCCAAGATAGGGCCTTGGCCTTTTCAATCGTAAGCGAATTTCTCATTTTCCTTGAGAAATACAGGGCTTTTGACTTGCTCCTCTTCGTCTCAGCTGGTAACATGATGACGTATGTTAAACCCAAGTGTCCATCCCAGAACTCTTCATTCTGAAGTGACTGCTACGTGGGAAGTATTTTTATATTATAATTACAACAAATGGAACTGTGTCATTAGCTGTATATAGTTGTATAATTAGAACTCATTTCCATACTGTAAACACTTTCTTTTTTTGGGGGGGGTCCGGTCGTGGGGCCTGAACTCTGGGCCTGGGCGCTGTCCCTCAGCCCTTCAGCTCAAGGCTAGCGCTCTTCCACGTGAGCCACAGCGCCACTTCCAGCTTTTTCTGCTTATGTGATGCTGAGGAATCGAACCCAGGGCCTCATGCATGCGAGGCAAGCGCTCTACCACTGAGCTACCTTCCCAGCCCAGCTGTAAACACTTTCACATGAACGAAAGCTAGGTATCACTACAGGCTTAGTTACACCGAAGCCAGGGGAGGTCCGATCAGGCTTATGTCGTCTTCCTAGGACTTTAACGTGGGGTCCAGGTGGGGGGCCCACTAGGCTACACAGAAAACTCCTGAAAGGCCAGGCATGAATGGAACCCCGAGTCTCTTTGGCCTAGCACTTGGGGTGCTCCAGCACCTTCTTCTCAGGTACCTGAAGCACGGGCCCCAAACCAGCAGCACTGGCCTTGCCTGAGAACTTGCTAGAAACGTCAGTAACGGGGGGCCACTCCAGAGGGTTCATCCAGGAGCTCTGGGGTCCAGCCCCAACACTGGGTGTTAACAAGCTCCCCAGTGGTCAGGGTCGGGTCTGTCTTTCCTAAATGCGTGGCGCCTCTGTGCGCATGCGAGTTCCGCTGCCTGGCATCTCCTGCGGTCTGACCCTCCGCGGCGCTCTACCAGCTCCCCCACACAGCCACGAGCCTGCCCCTGCTGCACTAGCCCGTAGCTTCTCTCTTTATTTATGTGGTGCTTTGTTTGTTATGTTTATTGTTCATGAGCAGATATTAAATTGTAGAAGGAGGTTTCATTATGACATCTCTATGCATGCATATAACATACTTGGATCATATTGTCCTTCCTCCCTCCCTCCCTCCCTCCCTCCCTCCCTCCCTCCCTCCCTTCCTCCTTCCTTCCTTCCTCCCTTCCTCCCTCCCTCCCTCCCTCCCTCCCTCTCTTCCTTCCTTCCTCCCTCCCTCCCTTCCTTCCTTCCTTCCTTCCTTCCTTCCTCCCTCCCTCTCTCCCTCCCTCCCTCCCTCCCTCCCTCCCTCCCTTCCTTCCTTTCTTCCTTTCTTCCTTCCTTCCTTCCTTCCTTCCTTCCTTCCTTCCTTCCTTCCTTCCTTCCTTCCTTCCTCCCTTCCTTCCTCCCTCCCTCCCTCTCTTCCTTCCTTCCTCCCTCTCTCCCTCTCTTCCTTCCTTCCTCCCTCCCTTCCTTCCTTCCTTCCTTCCTTCCTCCCTCCCTCCCTCACTCCCTCTCTCCCTCCCTTCCCTTCCTTCCTCCCTCCCTCTCTTCCTTCCTTCCTCCCTTCCTCTCTTTCCTCTTTCCTCCCTCCCTCCCTGGCCAGGAACTCTTGATTCCCCTGCCTTTGTTGGGATGGCAGGCATGCAGCATTGCGCGGCCCAGCCTTGGCAAGCATTTATCAGCTCACTCCTCAGGGGTTAACAAGTTGCTCACTTCTGGATGTAAATCGTCTCCCCACAGCCCATTTCAAGGCCCAGTGAGAGGTGAGGGAGGGCGGTCACGGCACTGGCTGGCGGGAAGGGCTCCCTACGGCCATGGTGGTTTCTGTCCCACACCGAGCCGTGAGTCCCCCCCACCCCCAGCTGTGGAGTCCCCTGAACCTCGATTCCAGTCGCTCCTCCGTGCCCTTCCCCGTCCCCCCCTCCCCCTATCCCCCCCTCCCCTGTCCCCCCCCCCCGCCAGCTGTGGAGTCCCCTGAACCTCGATTCCAGCCGCTCCTCCGTGCCCTCCCCCCCGCCTCTAGGAGAGGTCTACACGCGAGGTCTCCATACGTGTTTGTTGAGTCAAACCCACACTCTGCCACGCACCGCACCACGCACACAGACAGAGTGAACCTCTCCAAAGGAAAGCCACTCAGTCGCAAGGTGGCTGGGCTAGCTTCAAAGCACCTCCTCCACCTTCTCTCCGCGCCGAGCACATGTGGCGCTGAATGCTGGTGGCAGCCTGGTGAGTTGGAAGCACTGCTTCTGTTTGGTCTGACATATTCACAGAAGTGAAGGCTGTGGAGGGGGAGGGGCTGCCGTGCTGCTGTGGGGGACCCGGCCGTCCCAGGACACCCGGCCTACGCAGCCCTGCAGGTGCGGCGAGCGCACAAACCCACCTCTGAAACAGCTGTTTCTCTCTTATGTGAAGGGTTAAGTCTCTCCTCTGCGTGTCTTGACATCTAACTCCCCTTCCTCCTGATGAATCGCCTGACTCTTCCCTGATCTTGCAGCTCTTTTCTTCAGAAAACAGGATTTGGTTCTGGTCATGGCAGGCTTTGCTGATTTAAGGCCAGGAGGAATGTGACAGCAAATTTAAATACTTTCCTATCTATGAAAACTTGAGTCTTGTGATATGAATGTTCACATCAACCGTTGGCCCCGTGTACAGCAGCATTTTCTTTAATCATCTGTGGTTCAGTTCCTACTTATCTCTAATTCTTTTTTGGAACTTCAAATCTTGGGTTCAGTTATAATTTTCTATATTGCTAGATCGCAGTAAGACCAAACTGTCTGTAACTCCTGGGCTCTGATGTCAGTGGATTAACTTTACAGTATGAACAATTAGGAAACATACTTTCTCCCCGCTCTTCCTTTGCATTTAAATAATCAAGGCCTGGACTCTGCACGGGTAGACTTTACCAATATACTGTATTGCTTATTTCAAATGGCGAATAACCGTATCCACACAAGAGACCCTTTAACAAAGACTCTCCAAGAAAGTATAAATATTTTTGGCAAGTGGGAGGTGAGCGTCGAGGGGGAACTATTTCTGTTTGCAATCCAAAAACATAAATTAGGATAATTGCTCTAGAAAATACTTAGAGGAGATGGGCTGATAAGCTGGAACTCTAATTAAGCAGCTTCTTTTTAAGCTCTTAGTAATTTCCCTCCAGACACTCGCTGGGTTTGCTAGTCTACCGCTCTATCTCTTTCCCATCATGCGTGGCATCTTTTCATTTGGGTTTACGACTTGGGCCTTAACCTTAGGTAAAGGAGAGGAATAAAAGATAACTCTGAACTTAGACAAATGACTTCAGAAAGGACCTCCATGTCTCTATTCAAGTCTCTTTAGCCTGTCAAAATGAAGCCGTAATAATGGAATTAATTGCCTCTCCGATAAAATCCATCCCAGGCCCTATCGTTCGCTCACCGGCGTCTCCTTCGCCTGGCCTTGCGGCATTCCCCCTCTCTAGCTCCACACACAGACAGCTCTGGAACCCAGACAACTGGGGAGTGCATCTAGGATATACCCTCCCTCCCTCCATCCTTTCCTCCCTCCCTCCCTCCTTCCCTCCCTCCCTCCCTCCTTCCCTCCCTCCCTCCCTCCCTCCTTCCCTCCCTCCCTCCCTCCCTCTCTGCTTCCTTCCTTCCTTCCGGTTTGTTTGTTTGCAGCTTGCTCTCTTTGGGGAGCATTACTTGC